CCACGTAAGTCCTTTTTCAAATATCCAAACAAATAATAGTGGACTATAGGGAGGATGATCTATCTGTCTAAAATGGCAGCTTGTGCAACACCAGCAGTATGGACAGGTGCGTTATCGTGCAAAAGACGCACGCCTCTGGTCAGTTTTCCTCGATGTTTTACACGTATGCAGTCTCGCAAAGTATGTAATAATGTTGCATAATGTTTAAAATATATCAAAAGAATTCCGTCACCATCCCAAAAGATCGTGGCCATCACCTTTTTTGTTGACCGACTGACACTTGAAAAATAACAATACGCGCATATGAACTGTAAGTGTTTTTGTTCGGGCTTAATGGCCGTCGTTGAGTGAGCTTCTTCTGAGGCGCTTCCATCTCCGATGTTGGATGCAGACTGACGCGCTCCCGGCCGTAAGTTGTATTTATGCCTGGTGAGTCGCGGAGGGGAGGGGGCGGGGCATTTTAACGCATGAGTGGTTGTGACTACCGGGGCTGTCCTTGTGTTCCTTGAGATGGGGTTCCAAATTTGTTTGAGCTGCAGTGTCTCTTCTTTTCTATGTTTATGGATTTCTATTGCTTCTCGTACGAGGCGGGCACTGGCTTCCCCAAAAAGAATGTTGTGATCCCCTTCACTGAGCGCGTGTTCCGCTATTGCCGATTTGTCCGTTTGTCCCAGTCTGCAGTTTCTCTGATGTTCCTTTATCCTGGTTGTGACAGATCTTTTTGTCGTTCCAACGTACACCTTTCCACACGTGGACGGTATGCGGTAGACTCCGGCGGCTGACAGTGGATCTCTCTTGTCCTTGGCTGATAATAAGTATTGTCGGTTTTTACAAGAGGATTTGCCAATTTTCCTAGAAGAATAATTAATAGATCGCGGCGGACCTCAACCATGGCCTCCTAGGTCCCCAGATTTAAGTAGTTGGGACTTTTTCTTATCGCACCCCAGTCAAAACTGCATAAGAGCTTCCTGCGATGTAATATACGAGGAAAAGAGCTGGAGCGTGTATCTTCCGAGGTAGAGGACACTTTCAACAACTTATCTAGTTTCGATGTTGTACTTTTTTTCAAAAAAGTTTTCATTAATTTATTTTGTTGTTTGTTTCTTTACAGATATTAAAGCAATATAGGAAAAGGCCTTTCTAAGACTCCAAGTATATTAAAATGCTCGTAGCCCTATTAAGGCTAACATTCCATACAACAATTATTAAAATATACTCAAATTTCTGCATATTTTTGTTTCTCCGGGCCACATATCAGAATATATCACGAGTATTTCTTATGCAAAGTAGCTTATTAACGATATGTATATCGTTGTGTGTTTGCGTCATTACTTCACTTATTTCGATGTTGACTTAATCATAATATCTGCGTACCGAATCGTTTTCAATTCGAATACTAATGGAGGCGTTTAAATTATTTTAAAGCAAAATCAACAGGAAAATTTGCGACCCCTTTTACGAGCCCTGCTTCCTTGTTACGAATCGATGAAATCCAAATTTCGAAAGTATCTGCGTTCGTACAAAAATTTTATATATCTAGGTAACGGTAGGTCCTACGGGACCGCCGTTGGTACAGAAATGATCACCGTCGGGAAAAACATTTTTTTTCGTCTGTCTGTTCTCCGTTCTCGTCTTTTGGTTTTTCCTGGATAACTTTCGAACCGTTGCAGCTACAAAATTGAAATCTGCCTCCTTTTTAACACTCCACGAGGCACATAAGCTTATAAGAAATGGCCCTGATCCGACGCCGGTATCCATCTTTTTTTCGCCATTTTCGACTGTTTTTTGGAGATTGTGGTGATTTGGTGTGCAAGGGTCTACAAAAAACATCATTTTTCAAAAACCGTTTACGAGACCAAAAAAATTCTTGAACCGGAAGACGCAGAAGATACAGCTCCATAAACTTTTATTTTTGACAATTTTTCAAAAATATACAGGGTGCGTCGCCAATTCAATCACATACGCTGCTCAGAACATTTGAAAAAATCCAAACGAAAATCACCATTTCTCGTCCTCAATCTAGACGCGATGACGTCATTGATTATTATTTTGGAAAAATTCTTGGACCAGGAAACGTGGAAGATCCGGGGCTGTAACCTCCGTTTGCGGAATTTTTGCAATTATGTTCAGGGTGTGTCAACTATTGGTAAAAAAATCTAAAAGACCGTGAAAATTGCCGTTTTCGTGGATAAATTATTAGCGGTAAATGAAAAACTATAAAACATGGCACAATTTGCTATCCTACAGGGTGCGCGAGATACGTGGAATGTTGTAATTGGAACTCGTTATTACTTGTACAATTTTTTATATTTATCAAAGCTTGTCGTGACTTTGAAATTCGTATTTCAAATTCCAAATTTTGCTCGTTAAATTTCGAAATACAAAAAAAATTGACTAAGTTACTAATCGAGGTCGCCTCCAGTGTTCGAAGTGTTTTCGGAGCGCGAGCATTGAAGATGCCAAGTGAGATTTTGGCGAAACGTCTGCAGGATTCCAGTCGGATGCAGGATTTGCAGGATTCCAGTCGGATGCAGGATTCCAGTCGGAGTTCAGCGAGCGAACGGATGATATCCCGGAATACAGTGTCATCACATTATATATATATATATATATATATATATATATATATATATATATATATATATATATATATATATATATATATATATATATGTGATGTGTAAGGTTTTTTTCTAAATGAATGACAACAATTAAGGGAGCGATTTCTGGGTCATTTTAAAAAGACAACTTCGTATGAACATATGTCCCAATGTCCCATGACGAGAGATATAGGGGCATTATTTAGTCTACCGCAAATTTTTAAAAGGCACCAGTGGCGGGCGTACGAAATTTCACATTGATGGTACGCCACTGATTATTGTTAGATTCTCCAGAAATTTAATTTCTTGATTTTTTTCAATTCGATGTACGATTTACGATTTAAACAATATCGTTAATGTGACAATAAGCAGAGAATTATTATCAACCATTTGTTTTATTAAAATACTTCCAAAAATCGAAGTACTCCGAAGTGTATTTTTGAAATATTTATAATTATTATTATGTTATGTTTTTTTCCGAAGGACGCTAGTTGATAAGTAGAAACTAGATATTTTATTTTTAATATTTTTATTTTTATTCATGGAGACACTCCACTGATTTCCTAAAAAAAAATAACGACATTTGCCGTTACTGATATTTTTATAATCATGCTGAGAGGAGGCGTAACTTTTGATGCATTATAGATATTTGAAAAATACGTTTTATTTTTGAAAAGTTAAGACGTTTAGGACGTATGTTCATATATGAAGTTTTCTTTTTAAAATGGACCCAAAACTCGCCGCCTTAATTAGCTTAGAAAACACCGTCCATATTGCTATTTATAAAAAAATTGAAGGATTAAAAAAAAAAGTACGTTTCTTTCGTGGCGCTTTTTTGAGCGCCCTGTATACTTTAAAATAGCAATCTCAACAACTCTTATATTTAATATTTTCTCATAACTTCACATAACAAATAACTTAAAACCGCTTGTGGCATTATCTTCCCTCTTTATCTCTTCGGCATTAACAGTAAACATCGTTTTCTATTTCATTTTCTTAATTGCTGTGAACTTTAGCGATTGTAATTGAGCCACTAAATAAATAGTTCTTTTTGCTGTTTTACAAGCAATCTACGATTTTACCTTACCACTATTTCTGTAAAGCCTCCAATATTCTAAAAGACCTCTTTTACAGAGTAAATCAAAAATCGTAAAAAATATGGCTAATCGGTCCAAACAGTGTCATAGGCCGCATCAAGAGCTACAATTTTTGTATTTGCGGTTTTCGTCTGTCACATACGCCTCTCGAGATATTTGAAAAAATCCATATTGACGTAGCTATTTCGGGGACTGTCAAGACGCGATGGCGTCATTGATTACCACGGCGCACTGCATGGTTTCAGAAAAAACTTATTTTCTCGAAAACCGTATACTATGTTGGAAAAAATCTTGGACCAGGAAAGATCCAGGGCTATAACCTCCATTTGCGGATTATGTACAGGGTGTGTCAATTTTGGGTACAAAATTCTAAAGGACCGTGAAAATTGCCGTTTTCGTGGATAAATTATTAGAGAGAGAGAGAGAGAGAGGCTATGGTAATACTTTTTATAAAATTTCTGGATTCCTTCTGCGTCGGTTTTTGCTAACGTTTCGCCTGTTGGCTTCTTCAGTGCTTGACTGAAACTGTTTCAGTTGAAAATTTCCTTTCCTTTCTTTGTAGAGGTTGAGTTAACAATTATGTCATTGGTTTCAAGAGTACGAATTTTGTAAATATTGTGTCAAGCTCTCAAGCAGAGAGGAGGTTTTTATTTTTTCAAGAGAAAAAATATCAAACAATTAAATTCCTTTAGAAATGATAAAAAATATATATATTTTATTTTTGAAAACTTGACCACTGCGTATTTCAAAAGTTAAAACGTGTTTAGGGCATTCGATCAGAAAACACTCCGCATTTTTTGCTATTATTAAAAAAACTGAACGATTTTAAATTAAAAAATGCACGTTTCGTTCGTCGCGCTTTTTTGAGCGCCCTGTATACTTTCAAATAGCAATCTCAACAACTCTTATATTCAAATGTTTTTAATGTTTTTTTTTGTATTTGATAAAGGCACGGTGTTGCCGAAGCAGCTGTAATAAATCATTAAAAACTGTGAAAATCTAAACATTATATTTAATATTTTCTCATAACATTCTTTATCTCTTCGAAATTAACAGTAAATATCGTTTCCTATTTATTATCAAACTGGAAGAAGACTGATCGAACCATCGAAAAAAAATCGCAAAAAGCACAACAATAACATAATAGGCAAGGGAATCGATGTCTCCGAAGCGCTTTAAACTTGACCCAAGAAACCCATTACACTGACGGTTTGATGATCATCATCGGGATGATGATGATGGTGATGCAGCGGGATCCGCGCGGAGGGGGGCGGCCTCGTATAAATGCGACCACCACCTTCGGTCTCACCATAACTCTAAGTGTCCAGTGAAGTGTTGGTCAAACCCAGTAGGTAGCCCGAACACCACACAGCTTCATTTCGAATCGAGACAGTGCGTCGCAATTTTTTAAGGTAATTTTTTTTTATCGCCCGCTTTAAATTATATTTTTATCGAAGTTATTGACGAGAACCGAGCACTTTTTACATCGTTTCGTGTATATAATTTTGAAAATGAAAGCGTTAGCAATCGAATGCAGCTAACTGCAGTTTAATACACCGCGTTACACATAAATAACGTTTTTATGTTTTAATTTCACAAACGCGCCGCTGTTATTGTTGTAATTAACATTTGTTGTAACATTTGGTAGACGTATTACGCTTATAGCACACGTATCGACAGATTAACGACGCGAAAATCTCTTCTTTTTGTTTAATCAACAACACGGAACAAAAGTTTCTGTCAGTTTTCATTCCGGGTTCAAATAAAATAAAATAAACAAACCGGTCATCGACATTTTGTGATTGAAATTCGGTAGGGTTAATATAGACGGTTGAACGTCTTTCACTGGTCTAATGGCAAATAGCATTTAATGTAATGAACCATTAATTTTTTACGATAGCCTAGATTTTTGAAATAGCACCCTAGCGGGAACGGAAACTTTTTAGAACAGGTGTTTTTTTTTGCAGCATTTTGACACCAAAATTTTCAAAATCCGCTCGCAGGAATACATTTTTATAAAAAAAAAAACTTAGGTCGCTTTGCTTCTATGGGAAGATTAGTATTTAAAAAAATAGTAAAATTCAAGGGAGGGTTTTTTTTTATTCAAACTGTTTTATTATGGTAAAAGTTGATATGCTTTTGGAATACGAAAACTAACGTAAGCATTGTACGTATACGAAGTTATTACCGGAAACCAAGAACAAGAGAATAGATTTTTTTTTTATTTTCAAATCTGTCGCTTTTTCGGATATTTTGAAAATCTGTTGGAAAATAACAATTTCGGTAGAATCGATTTGAAAGTGGTATACGCACGACAAGTTTTACATTGAATTAAACAAGTGCGATAGATATTTACGTAATAACCAATTTATTTTAAGATGAAACTATCATAGAATATTTTCAAAATTCATTTACAATTTTACACATGACACAATTTTCAAAAATTAAATAAAAATTAAAAAAAAAAAACAAAAAAGAAGAGAAAAACCGTCTTATCATAAGTAGAAATCAATGAGAATTACTGTCGTGTAACGGTAGGTGAGTATCTTCGAGCTTATACCTTAATTATCTATTAAATTTTAACACATTTTATATGACATTATCCTTGTGCCGATGAAAATGGAATTTCAGATAAAAAAATATATGATGTTTTAAAGACAATTTAACATGCTTTAATTTATTTTCGCTTTTTGTGTTTAGCATAGTACTAATAACTGCACGAGTCAAATTAACCAAAAACAAATAGGGTCATTGATAATTAGCAACTCAACACTTATTTTTCAATAATAACATCTCTTACTGCATTAGGCGTAAATCTAATCAAGTTCGCTATGGTTTTTTATCCTCTACTGCAACATTAGGTACTCTGATCGAGTTTGAGGTACAACGTCTAGCTTGAATTTTACAAATATATAAAATGGCATGTTTATTTTTTGGAACAGATGAATAGTTTCTCGAAAAAAAAATATTAAATTCAAAAATTTCTATGCGCGGAAGTTTATAATTTGCAAAAAAAATTAATTAAAAATTAAATGGACTCTGTTGAATCATATTTTTACTAGTTTGTGCTGTTATGAATGATCAAAGATACCGATATACAGAGACCCTGTCCATACTAATAATACAGAAACTTTTGATGTTGACATTATGATGTGTGACTTATTGTCATGGCTCATGAAGGTACAGCGTTTCAAGTATATTTTTAATGTTCAAATTTACAAGTAAAGTCTGTTCATAGATATAAGAAAGTGACTAACTGATCCGTATGTATTTATGTTTAAATCTAAAATAAAATTACAAATTATTTTTATTACCTACTTAAATTACTTACAATTATTCTCATAAGATATCAGTACCACTATCGCCGTATTATATCTTGATCACTTTCATCTACACTCGAGAAAATGTCAGCATCGCTTCTTTTTTTCCTCGCTGAAATGGGATTATTAACAATTTTCCATACAGTTGATGTTGGAATTTTCGTCAATGTGGCCGTTTCTTCTAAAGATGCTTGCTCGCTGGCACCACGTTCAATGAGAGTCAAATAAACATTGTTTATAACTTCCTTAGTCTCAATAGAATAGTGTTTTCTACACTTGGGCGGGAGCATCTCCTGAGATACACTAGACTCGCACATATTTTGCATAATTAGCGCACGATTCAACACACGTTGTATTACACACGAAATAAGAATGATTACTAATAAATTTAAACTAAGTATATTATTAAACACAGGTAGGTATAAAATTATTTTCTATTACGGACCACAATTTTACATGAATTTAAATTCCGAAACTTTAGGTAATAATCTTGTTGCATTGTATGTTAATGAGCATCCTTGGATAATCCCGTTCCAAAGCAATCGGACACTTTCTCATGTCCATGAACAGACCATACTAAAATTTTTTTGGTTACAAATGTCAAATTCTCACATTTTGATCTTTCTTTTTTATTATTCGCGTGATGCTGCTTCATATTCCACTAATTTTCTTTTTCCCTAAAAAAATAAATCGGCGCTCTTTAAAAGAACAGGAATGATCAAAGATACAGATATATAGAGACTCTGTCCATACTGATAATACAGGAATTTTTGTTGTTTGACGTTCAAAAGGTTCACCCGACGAGTTAACTCTTAATTTATCTATATCTAATGGCTATATGAGCTAAGACAATGACTGTGAGTAGTAAGTAGTAAGTACAGATATCGCCTAGCAAATATATGTTTAAAACACCGCGACAAAGACGATAAAGATAGCTTCATTTCCATAAGACTTGATTTTTACAAGTGTTGGACATTGTCCATATAATATGTTATTAGTATAATTAATAATATTAGATAAATAACAAATATATAAACAATAACAAACGACGAATACGTATTAAAATGTATCACAAGAAAGAAAATCCTTAATATTGTAATAGGCGAGGCGTAGCCATTTGTCTTTAAGAGTGCATTTCAATTTTGGTTGACTAGTTATCTCATTCAGTTCGATAAGCGATTTATTATAAATTTTTACAGTCAAAACAAAAGCACTATTTGCTGTAAGAGACAGTCGATCTGTAGGTATTTTTACGTTAAGATTCGGTCTTAAACTGTACTGAATATCTGAGTTTCTTGAGAGCGTGGCACAATCTAGTATGCTCCGCACGTGGGGAACCTCTCCAACAAACCAAGGCGTAGTTGAGACGGGAATAGACATAGACAATTACAAAATAGAACAGGAAAAGTAAAAACTATTATAAAACGAGTCAGTTTAAAACGAACTGTATTTCAAAATTAGCTCTAAATATGCGAAATTGGTTTTAGAGAATATATAAATTGATATGATTAGTATACATTGGATTTTATTCAGCGGTTCAAACTTACATCCTCGTTTGTAGTACTGGTTTTCCTTACGCAGCAGGCATTAGGCATTATACGCACAATTAGGTATTTTACAGACGGGAGTAGAAAAAAATATTGTACTGGACATATTTCCGGCTAACACTACGGGACAGAACAATTCCAAGGGTTTTTTTTTTCATAATTTAAAAATCCTGTATATAATCGTAAAACGCATGAAATAAAAGTTAAACTCCGGATCTCAAGAGTATCCCGGTTCAAAAATTTTGTCGAAGCAGAAATAACCAAAAAAAATTATTCGTAATAATTTTTTGATCCGGATCTCGTAAGTCTTTTCGAGCAAAATTTTTGTCAATATTTGCCATCGTTTTTGAGGAATTATCATTATCGTGTGTCATAGCGATCCGCGAAAAAGAGTGGGAAATGGCAGAAAAAAGATGGACGCTAGGGTCTAAGGAGCGAAATTTGCGCTCCCTCGTTGCGTTTTTATGCAGAACAGAGAACGAATGACAGACAAAAAATTGAAACGTTTATATTTCGAAGGTGTATTAAAGGGCACGACTAAGAAAATGTGTCATAACCTTAAAGACTTTACAAGAAAAAACAAAACCACTTTTGGTTGCAAATCGTACCGGCTATATGCAGATTAACGTAATTTGCTTCGATTTATTTAAATTTTACTCATTCCGACACGCGCGCGTTCGCCAAAGATTAACCGTATTATTGACCTGAATCCGTTTTTGTCGCTCTCTCGTAATTCCGGGGCCCCTATACCCGCGAAGCCTCATCGAGAGTTGAGAATAAAACGGTTTACGCGCGAAAGGTGAACAGCGATTTTTCGAAATTAAATGTTAAACGTTCGAGTTGTGTAACGCGTGTCGGGTTTGAAAGGAGGACGAGCTAACGAGATTTCGGACGCTGCGGCGCTTCGGTTTCCGCGTTTCGGACGACGGACGCCGGCCGTTCGTGATCAAAATTACGCCGATGCAAGAAACCGGTGGCCTTTAAATTATTCAGATCGGTAACGAGGAAAAATCACGATTATTACACCGTCACCTTGGAAACGCACACTTGACATTTCTTTCAGAAATTAGAAAACGCGTCATTGAAAACCGTACGTTGCCCAATATCATAAACTAAACCTAAATTAATTATGTAATTTAATTAAAAACCGAACCGAACATTTTCAATTCTGTCTCTTATTAAGTAAATCAACTTATAAGTTTAGATTTTAGAATATGTGCGTATTTTTAGCAGATGAATTTTTTAACAATTTTGTCATACAGTTTCTTTTCGTTCGTTTATTGCTTAGTTTCGTAATGATTTTTAATTCTCTATTTATGTCTCGCATTTCTTGCAGTTTCTTAAACAAATTGTCGGTGCTGGATAATATTCATTGATATATTCTGTAAAATCGATTTCTTACATTTAGAGCTAATTTTGTAATACAGTTTCTTTTGATTTGTTTTGTAAAAGTTTTTAATTTTCTCGTTGTTTCGCAATTCTTACAATTTCTTCTATTCTGTATAAATATAGTATATACGAGGCCAGCGCCAAAATTTCCTGGCC